AATAAACGAGTGACTTAGTTGTTAGTATTTTTCACTTTGTTTCTTGTATTGTTGATGTCAATAAACGAGTGACTTAGTTGTTAGTATTGTTCACTTTGTTTCTTGTATTGTTGATGTCAATAAACTAGTGACATAGTTGTTAGTATTGTTCACTTTGTTTCTTGTATTGTTGTAGTCAATAAACGAGTGACTTAGTTGTTAGTATTGTTCACTTTGTTTCTTGTATTGTTGTAGTCAATCAACTAGTGACTTAGTTGTTAATATTGCTCACTTTGTTTCTTGTATTGTTGATGTCAATAAACGAGTGACTTAGTTGTTAGTATTGTTACGTCTCCGTTTGTTAATTAACTTTCCGTAACTTCGTTCCGACGAAACTTAAGCGACACAAGTTCTTTCTTAATAAAAACTGGTTTATTCTTTCCGAATATAACTTTATTGATACACTCAACTTCAACAATCGCGCTAAACAAACGCTATAACAACGAACGTGCTCAATAATACTTCTGACTGCAGTTCAATTACTCACTATCTATACACACACTACCTCCGTCACGTTGTCCCCTCTTATATATACCCGACTACCCTATCTAGTAAATACTAGAGCATTCCTGAAAGAACAAGATAGTTCTAGAACTTAGAGGGTGCCACACCAGTCACGTGACCTCGATGACGCAACAGAGGGTAATAAATCATGTGTTTATGTGTATAATAGAAATAAAGAAAAAGGTGAGTGACTAACAAGAGCAACGAAGATTTGATTAAATAATAAGCTCTTGCTTGTGCCCCATAACTTAAGGCAGCATATAAAAAATTAAATAATTAAAAAAGAGAGTGTCCTTAAGTTAAAATGTAAAACAAGAAGTTAACTCTGACTCAACTTTAGTAAATAATATCAATGCATACCTTAAATGAAAATCTCTCCTGTGGGGCAAGCTATTACACTATTCATTTGTCTGGCAAACTTAAATAAATTATAACTGAAAGGCAAGTGGTACCTATGAGAATGAAAGCTAAAGCTGGTTTTAAAGTTACAAAGGAACTTGAAGAGTTCTCAGCAAATAAAACTACACAAAATTATACAAAACAATTGAAAGTGAAAACTTTAATAAAAGTCCTCCCACAAAGTTATGGAATTTCTAGGTAAAATATATGTGGAAATCTGCATAAAATCTAGGAACATTTTTCAGAAATTCTACACTCTCAGGCACTAACACTGTTTTAAATATGGCATTAACCCTCGAGTTTCTGACACAATAAAACATGGGTGCCTGATTGATCAGTTAGTCAACGGGCTGCAAAGGTAATGGGCGAGTCCACCTACAATTACTGCCCAATTCACCAACAAGAATAACTCAGTACGTTAATCAAAAAGCATGTTGTTATTCCTGTAAAAAAAAATCAGACAAGAAAGTGCCTAATTTCTACTTGACCCAAATGGCTCTGGAGAAAAGTTAAAGTTAAATCCATCTTGAGCAATGCCGAGCTCCAATTTTAGGAATTATAGCAAAAACGAAAATAAATTTAGGAAATTTAACTACAAAAAGATATTTTTCCTCTCAGCAGAATTGATGCTTGTCAGGAGCAATCTCATGCTCGATCTCAACTTATAGTGGACACAGATTTTGGATGTGAGATGTTTCACATGTCTTTGTTAGTGTTTTTGCTTTGTATATAAAGACAAGTCCACCCCTGTAAAAACAATTAAGAACATGATGGCTGGAGACGGCTTGAATGGGTAATGAAGAAAAACTTTAATATAAGTTTAACATAACAGCAAATGTACAACGTTTCGACAACGACAAAGTGGGTTCCTCGTCATCGAATTAAGAACATCTTTTGTTAACTTTAAAATGTAATTAACTGGTGTAACTTTTAGAACCTTAACATTAACTTAACTTTTATTTGCTGAAGCTTATGGATTTAACTTCAACTTGAGAGTTTTTTAAAATAAAGTTTAGATACACTATTATGGAACAAGAACAAGTTTATATGGGTACATGTGTCTTCTCCAGTTGTAATTCGCCTGACATGGTAAGATCAACATAACATGTCATCATATTGAAACCAACAATTCACATGCAATAAAACAACTGTCGTGCATACTTCCTTGGACAACTAGGGACATACATAACACTGATATAATATTGATGGTGTAATTCAGCCCTCAGAAAATACATGATCATCTCCAGCTGTAATGTTTTGAAAGAAAGGTGGAAGTAACAGTTTAATGTTGATTTCTGCTGGGTGAATACCAAAGCATGTATTGCTTCCTACATATTACTGTAAGCATATGAATGCCTGGATATATTGGAGGGTGCCAGGTGGTTCAGTGTAATATACCTGGCCCCAGGATGCTGACAAGTCATATTTGATGACAAGTGTAGTGTAAAAACTGCTTTTCACAGTCAGAAAGGGCTGTTTGAATTTAGGGTTATGCCATTTTGCCTGTGTAATGTCCTGATCAATTCTGAAAAGCTGCAATGGGAGAAATGCCTGTTATATTTGTGGATGATATAATTGTGTGGACTAACCATAATGAAGCTGCAAAGGCAAAACGTTGGTTAAAATAAAAAATATATATATTTTATAATTATCTTTAGTATAAAGGTCGTTTTTCTCCTAACCTTTTTATTAGGATGATGTCTCAGCATTTGGCTGAATGTTTGAGTATGCTGTTATGAGCCTGTCCATGGTCTTGCAACAGATATGATCAGAAGGTTTGAAGTTAAAATCAGGGAAATGTGTGCTTATGTGAACAAATTGTAGGTATAGAAGACATCTCAAGGGACTCTATGAATACTGGACTGGTTTGAAACTGGACCTAAACCACAGTGAGATGAGAGATGTGAAGTTTTTTTAGACTTGCAATGTATTGTCAATGTTTTGTTGACAAAATGTGCGAGCTTGCTGAACCCATGTCAGTCCTCACGTAGACGAATCAAAGAGTGAAATAATACATTCCATGTACTGGAGCATGCTTTAGTGGAAGCACCCAAGTTGGCATATCTAGGGCAGGATTGTGAGTTTCTACTGGATAAAGATGCCAGTGAAAGAGGAATTGGGGCTGAGCT